GTCGGTTGGGTTTAGGAAAGTAAGCGGGTGGGCCGGTCAATCTGTAAAATTGGTTGGGTTTAGGAAAGGAGGAGGGTGGCTAGGTCGATTGGCTGGTCGCCCAGTTAATCATTTAGTCATTCAGACAGACGGTCACTGGACAGCGGCCTCTGGTGGGTTTACACAAGAACCGCACAGGTATGAACAGTACTCATGAGAGACATTCAAGATACAAAAACTTCTCTTTTCCATCTACACATCATCTCTAGGACCAGTCATCCAGAGACATTTATTCTCCTACCACTGCCATGCTGATGATACCCAGCTATACCTCTCTTTTCATCCTGATGATCCCTCGGTTCCAGCTCGCATCTCAGCCTGCCTGTTGGATATTTCACACTGGATGAAAGATCATCATCTTCAGCTGAACCTTGCAAAAACGGAAATGCTTGTAGTTTCTGCCAACTCAACCCTACAATCCAGATGGATGGGGCAACCATTACTGCATCCAAAATGGTGAAAAGCCTTGGAGTAATGATTGATGACCAACTAAACTTCTCTGACCACATCTCTAGAACTGCTCGATCTTGCAGATTCGCACTCTATAACATCAGAAAGATCCGACCCTTCTTATCTGAACATGCAGCTCAACTCCTTGTTCAAGCTCTTGTTCTCTCCAAACTGGATTACTGCAACTCTCTACTAGCTGGGCTTCCAGCTAACTCTATCAAGCCTCTTCAACTGCTCCAGAATGCAGCAGCACGAGTGGTCTTCAATGAACCTAAACGAGCACATGTCACTCCGCTGCTAGTCCGTTTGCACTGGCTGTCAGTTGCTGCTCGCATCAAATTCAAAGCTCTGATGTTTGCCTACAAAGTGACCTCTGGCCTTGCTCCTTCTTATCTGCTCTCACTTCTGCAGATCTATGTGCCCTCCAGAAACTTGCGTTCTGTGAATGAACGTCGCCTCGTGGTTCCATCCCAAAGAGTGAAGAAATCACTTTCGTGAACGCTCAATCTGCCCAGTTGGTGGAATGAACTCCCTAACTGCATCAGAACAGCAGAGTCACTCGCTACTTTCAAGAAACTACTAAAAACTCAACTATTTAGTCTCCACTACACTTCCTAATCTGCAATTGCCTCTCTGAATATCACACTAACTGTACAAAAAAAAAAAAAAAAAATTACTAATACTACTAATACTTCCCTTCTTAGACTTTACAGACCTGAAACTTGCCTATAGCACTTATTCATTGTTGCTCTTGGTTGTGTAAATTGCTTCCTTGTCCTCATTTGTAAGTCGCTTTGGATAAAAGCGTCTGCTAATTGACTAAATGTAAAAATCTAAAAAAAAATGCAGGCAGCGGCCTCTTGTGGATTCACAAAAACAAAAACTGCAAAAATACGTGCTTCCTGGGACGCATTTCACAAACTCCAGAAATGTCCACGGGACTACTTTTTCAGAATGAGCCTGGGTTGATCTATTCCAACGAAATCTCACGGCAATTCGTAACTTTTAGTGGCTAATTCATATGAATTTGTACAATCGAATTCGTACAATTTAGTATGATTTGCTCATCACCCGATGACGGTTGGGGTTAGGGGGTGGGGTTAGGTGCCACGCTTCCTTTTTAAAAATCATACAATTTCATACGACTGAACTTGTACGAATTCATACGAATTAGCCACTTAACTGACAAAACATAAAATACTTACGTTTCCTCATGAAATCAGGCTGTCTATTCACACACAACTGTGTTCAAACCCCTTATAAATGTGCTTTTTGCATAATAGGTGCCCTTTAATGGGCAAGAAAAAAAAAGTAGTACAACTAAAACAACTCCCAACAGAAGAACAGAAGTAACATAATACAGAAGCAACAAACAGACAAACAAAACAAACTTAAACAAACAAAACTAAACAGGACAGTGACACAAGTGAACTCAATAGACAAATCAAGAAAGCAAAGGAACATGGAGTACACAAAAACAATGTGTGCAGTGCCATCTAATGTCCAACATGTGCACTGCAGCCTAGGTTTGTGACAGCTGCTCTTGTGTAACTTTCAGGGAACAAAGTGTTTAATTCATTCATTCATTTTCCTTTATCAGGGGTCGCCACAGCGGAACAAACCAGCATCTATTCTGGCATACATTTTAAACAGCAGATGCCCTTCCAGCTGCAACACAGCACTGGGAAACACCCATACACTCTTGGATACACGCACACATGGCCAAATTAGTTTACCCAATTCCCCTAGCGCATGTGTTTGGACTGTGGGGAAACCAGAGCACCTGAAGAAAACCCATGCCAACACGGCGATAACATGCAAACTCCACACAGAAATGCCAACTGACCCAGCTGAGACTCGAACCAGCGACCTTTTTGCTGTGAGGTGTCAGTGCTAACCACTGAGCCACTATGCTGCACATTTATAAAAAAAAAAAAAAAAAAAACCCTTCAAAAAAAAGTGGTATCGTATTTTTATAGTTTCACTGGAGTCAATAAAAAAAAGGGGTTGATATTCAATATTTCACGAACTAAAGTGAACAAAAAATAACAAATACTGTTGCAGATGTATTGTTCATTGTTGGTTCTAGCTAAAACATTTCACTCATGTTAGCAAATGTTAGCATTGTGCAATAATCTTCTGTCTGTTGTTATTTTAATTTATTTCATCAGTGTGTGTGTGTGTGTGTGTGTGTGTGTGTGTGTGTGTGTGTGTGTGTGTGTATGTGTGTGTGTTAAAGACGAAAGCGATGTTGTTTCAGTATAAATGCTGGAACGGGCTTTAACTGACGCAAAGGGCAGCAGGTAAAATCTTGCCTGGGGCAGCAAACTGGCCAGTTTACAACACACAAGCAGGACAATCAGTGGAAATTAAAGCCATACTGCTTAACTCCAGCGCCCAGTGAAAATGTGTATAAGTGTTCTATTAAAGAAACACCCGTTTGTACGAGCGTCAGTATGTATAAGTGCAGGAAGCTGATTCAGAAATTCCTCAGAGGAGCAGCGATCGGTCTGCTCAGGCGTGTTTGATGTGTGTGTGTGTGTGTCATTTACAGCTGGTGATTTCGAAACATTAGGACACACAGATGATAAGAGATGATGATGATGATGATTAAGGCAACAGCAGGGAAGGAAACCACGCCTTCTCTCTATGTGTGTGTGTGAAGAGAGAGACTGGACTCTTTTCTCTTTTCTTCAAGGACTGTTTTCTGTATAATGACATGGGCATATCATAGTTGTATACTAACTGATTTATGAGGACATTATTCAAAATCATATGTAACTGGGTTCTCACATTCATAATGTGCCATGTGTTCAGTGTATAAAATACCTTACGCCTATGGCCAGTTCACACTGAGAGGTACAGTACAGGTCACCTTTATCAGGCTTGTGTTTCCTCTGCATAAAGGGTACTCTTTTGGTGGGTGTGATGTACGCCAAAGTTTCAGACGACGTCATTATTACTTGAGGTAATGTCACAGTAACGCAGTACGGGTCGTTCACATATCATATGAGAAGCTCTTCTCACAAAACAGAGGCTTTATACACAAATATTGGTGTATAAATGTTCATTACTGACATTTCTAGCAACATAATTTTATTATAATTGCAGATCAATGACTACTGCCTACTGTAACGTCTGTAATTACATTAAATAAATAAATAAATGCAGCATATATTAACACATTCAGACCCTGACAGTCTCTGATATGTTATCAATTACAGAAAAAACTACTCACAGCAAACGTTTAGTCCTTATTTGGGTTCAAAAACAACACACACAATATAGCCCACAATCAGTGAAAACCTCTCATCTGTGTCTGTAATCCTGTTAGAGTACTTCCGTCATTCCGACTTCATAATAGTCCATAAGGTGATGATAATAGTTAAACATGGCAGTTTGTTCATTGTTTTAGGTTGCTGAAGCATCATTTGCTGCTGTTTTTTCACGCTTCTCCTTTGTTTTTTAGCACTTCACTCTCGTGTTTGTTTGTTCTGACAGGATCGGATACGAGAGCGCTTCAGTGATCATACATGTTATTACTATCAGCTCAAGATCTTTGTTATTGTTGTTATCGATGCAAGATCGCACGCTCTCAGGAGAAAGTAAAACCGCTCGCACTTTTAGATGTGCTTGTAAAACAACAGGACACGGAACGATTTTGTGCTTCTTGGCTTTGTGGTTAAACATCAAGACGACGACAAGGTTTGTTTGAGCTCAAGTTGACCATGGCTGGTTATTATATGTATATATTATTACGGTGTAATGTCTCGGCTGTGTTTTTAAAAATTTCTCTTTCTTTGTTTTCATTCTCCTGCTTCTGCGAGTGACGCTTCTCTGTAAACCAATTGAGTTCTGATGCACATCTAGCTCTGCCTTATGGTATCCGTTGCAAAGGCTGACCAAAAAGTAATACTGTACGGTTCGCTTTTAGGTACCCTTTGACAGTGAAAACAGCCATAAAAGCGTACCGAACCGTACCATACCACTCAGTGGAAACAGACCACTAGAGAGTCCCCTTTAACCACCATTAACAATGTGTACAGGTGTGTGTGAGGGAGAGAAAGAAGTTTTCCTTTTGTTATTGGTATGCATTCATGCATTTATTTGTTTCCCTTTGGCTTAGTTCCTTATTTATCAGGAATCTATCCCTCCATCTATCTTTCAGTCAGTCAGTCTGTCTGTCTGTCTGTCTATCATGTAATCTGCAATGTTTTGGTAATAATTGACACATCATGCCAGTAAAGCTCTTTTGAATGAACTGAATTTTAAATAATAAAGTAAACTTGTTTGTGAATATGTGTGTGTGTGTGTGTGTGTGTGTGAGAGAGAGAGAGAGAGAGAGAGAGAGAGAGAGAGAGAGAGATATTGAGTGTGGGTGTGAGACAGTGGTGTGTGTGAGAAAGAGAGGGAGAGACCAAGTGCGTCTGAGTGAGAAAGAGTAATTGTGTGAGAAATTGTGTGTGTGTGTGTGTGTGTGAGAGAGAGAGAGAGAGAGACAGATGAGAGAGAGCGCACGACTGATAACACGCTGAGACTTGAGGCAGTTCAGAATGTGGATAGTGTCAGAAGTATGTAAGCACCGGAGCGGGTTCAGAAAACACTGAAGTAAAACAGCAGGAAACACTGATTTACCTGAGGAGGAACTGCAGGAGAAGGAAAACTGACACATTTAAAAACCCAGTCGTAGAGTTTCATCTACTGGAACACTCAGAAGGTAAGAATCACTTCCTTCTCTGAATGAATCAGTCAGTTTATTTATCACCCTGATAACCCACATAATAAAACACCATAGTTATTAATTCATAGTACACACTACAGTGTTTTGTGAACTATACTATAGTCAAATGTACTGTAGCTAACTGCATATATCATAGCATTTCATTAATATTTAATGAACACCAATACATGTGTGTGTTATGATTAATTATCATGATAACTGCTTATTTAAAGCCGTTTGCTCCATTTACCTCCTCATATTCTCTTCATCATATGCAACAGAATCATTTTGTTTCAAGAATCACAACAGAAAGTGTCCGTAGGTCTTTTCAATACAAAGCTCCCTCAGACTGGAACAATCCTCCCTTCTCTTTTAGATCAAGTCATTTAGTCTTTCCAGGGCTCGTTTATTTTCTCTTTTGGAAACAACTTGTACATGTTATTAATATTGGTTCTGATTTAAATGTTTATTATTCATTTGTATATCAAATTGTTTGTACTTCTGATGATATGTTTATGTTTACTGAGGCTTTAGACTGTGGCAAGTGTTTCAGGTGAAGTGTGCTGCTTGTTTGTTATTCAATTCAATTCAGCTTTATTTGTATAGCGCTTTTACAATGTAGATTGTGTCAAAGCAGCTTCACATAAATGGTCATAGTAACTGGAACAGTGTGGTTCAGTAACTGGAACAGTGTGGTTCAGTTTTTAGTGTTTAAGTTCAGTTCAGTTTAGCTCAGTTCAGTGTGATTTAATCATTACTGAGAGTTCAAACACTGAAGAGCCAATTCATCGATGCGTAGCTCTACCAATCCTGAACCATGCGAGGCAGTGGCGACAGCGGAGAGGGGAAAAAAAACTTCACCTGATGGGAGTGAAGAAAAAAAACCTTGAGAGAACCAGACTCAGTTGGGCACGACCATTTTAATTTCTCCGCTGGCCAAAAGTCTAGTGCAGAACTTCATTCGTCGTGGTTTAGGCTGGAAGATGGCCTCAGCGAAGACTCGTCTGTCCCTGGAGCGTCGCTGGAATCAGACTCATGTTCTCCACTCCCCACGACCATCAGCGCAGCAGCAGCTCAGGATATGGCCTGGTCCCGCATATGGAATCCTTGGGATCATCACGTCGCTGGTCTTGGATCCAATCAGTGACTCCGCATAATCTGAGGACCTCGGGATGAGTATCCCCAGGTGAAAATAGAGAATAAAGAAAATAATTAGCGTAGCTGCTGTTCATAGTGTATATAAGCAAGATGTAGGAGCCAGTGTGGAACCCGCTAGGTGATGCATTGAGTGTATGCTTTACTAAACAGATAGGTCTTTAATCTAGTTTTGAACTGGGAGAGTGTGTCTGAGCCTCGGACGTTATCAGGAAGGCTATTCCAGAGTGTAGGAGCCATAAATGAGAAGGCTCGACCTCCTTTACTCGACTTTGCTATTCTAGGTACTACCAGAAGCCCTGAATTTTGAGATCTTAAAGAGCGAGTTGGATTGTATCGAGACAGAAGGTTGGTTAGATAAACAGGAGCTAGATTATTTAGAGCTTTATAGGTGAGAAGTAATATTTTAAATTCAATACGAAACTTAACAGGCAGCCAGTGTAAGGAGGATAAAATTGGGGTTATATGATCATATTTTCTAGACCTGGTCAGAACTCTGGCTGCTGCATTTTGTACTAATTGAAGTTTGTTAATAGAGGATGCTGGGCAGCCAGCAAATAGAGCATTACAGTAATCCAGCCTAGAAGTCATAAAAGCATGGACTTGCTTTTCTGCATCTGAGATGGATAGCAGACTTCGTAATTTAGCGATATTTCTCAGATGAAAGAAGGCAGTTTTTGTGACATGGGATATATGGTTTTTAAAAGTTAGATTGCTGTCTAATATGACACCCAGATCTTTTATAGTAGAGCTAAAGCTAACTTTGTATCCTTCTAATTGTAAATTGAGTTGCGAGATCTGCTGTGTACAAGATTTAGGCCCAATAAGTAATAATTCTGTTTTGTCTGAGTTTAAGAGAAGAAAATTGTTGGTCATCCAGTCTTTGATGTCTTTGAAACACTCAGTTAGTTTAGAAAGTTCAGACGTCTCGTCAGGTTTAGTTGAAATATATAATTGAGTATCATCTGCATAGCAGTGAAAGCTGATCCCATGTCTTCTAATAATGTCTCCCAGAGGTAGCATGTAAATTGTAAACAGTAAAGGGCCTAAAACTGATCCTTGAGGCATCCCATACTTTACTGGGCAGATTTGTGAAGGCTGTCCATTAATATTCACAAACTGGTAGCGGTCAGTTAAGTATGACTTAAACCATTGTAGAGCCTGTCCCTGGACACCTGTAGACTTTAAGCGATTTATGAGGATATTGTGGTCTATGGTATCAAATGCCGCACTAAGATCGAGTAAAACTAATAGCGAGACGCACCCTCGGTCAGCAGCTAAGAGTAAATCGTTATGATGTCAAGTACTAAGATGTACTTCTTAGGGACCCCCACGAAAATGAGATGGTTAATCTCAAGGGGCTATCCCATTCAATAAATTCAATACTTTAGCTTTTACTACAGTAAACTGATGTAGTATAATATACCCTACAGTTTTATTGGGTTTAGCTGTTGTGTTACTGTAATGTCAACAGATTAACTGAGGAACTTTACTGTAGAGTGTTCAAAAGCACTGTGGTATTTACTAAAACTTACTACAGTATCTTTTGATAGACAGAACCAGTGCTACTCACAATTTTTTTTTTCTTTAGCAAAAATGACACCTGATATTAACCACAAGTATAGAGTATTTTTTTAAAATGTCCTTTGTCATGATGTTGACCTCCAGGTGATGACGGCTCTCATCACTTGTGTATCCGGCGAGGGCAGCCTTTTCTCAGCTAGACATGCTGACATTTGCCCCTGACTTTGAATCGTTTATTGCTACATGATCGTTGTAACAGAAAATGATTGTGAATTTGATTGTGCTCATTTTAATCACACTGAATTTAATCAATGTTTTCTCTTTTTTTAATTATGCAAAAAATAATAGTTAAATTCTTATAATAAAATTGATTGGACATTAAGTAAGTTCAAAGCAAATGCCGTAAAATAGGAATTTACTTTGATTAAATAAAGCCTACATATTAAATATAATAAAATACAAGGCCACATATGTAATTTATTTACTGTGTGGGAACAGTTAGAGAATAAAAACTCAGCATCATCTGAATAAACTATATTTAATCCACTGTTTTATGATCAGATTATTATTTGTGAATCATTTGGTAATTAAACCTAAGACCTGATGTTGACAGTGCTGCTTACAAGAGATATACAGGCATCATTCTTATTTGTAGGTTCAAGTATTGGAGGCTGGAATGTAAATGTAGGCATATTAGTGTTGGTTCACATTCATCTGGATCGCGGTACAAGGAAGTAAGATTTGTAGATCTTTTAACAAAAGGTAAAACTTTCACAAGAAGTAGTGGAAAAAAGTTATTGAATTGAACTGTTTTTTGCACTTAAACACCTGACCACTAAACCAGTTATTAGGGTCGATGTGTTTTTATTAATATTTTTACTAAATTTGACGTTATACGCTTTCCAGTGATGTGTGGTTTGTTAAGATTGGACAATATTTAGCTGTGATGCAACTATTTGAAAACCTTGAATTAGATGGTAATAATGATATTAATAAATACATAAATAACTATATATATATATATATATATATATATATATGAAATTAATAAAAAATACATAAATACATGCATATCTATAAAATTAATAATACAAATAAATCATTACAATTAACACACACACACACACACACACACACACATATACATATATACATCATATATATATATATATATATATATATATATATATATATATATATATATATATATATATATATATTTATATATATATAATTAACACACATCTATAATTTATATCTATCACAAAATATTATATATATATATATATATATATATATATATATATATATATATATATATATATATATATAAAATTTAATAATATTAATAATAATAGTACATATTACTTTTAAATTAAGTTTACTAATTAAGTTCTCATCAATGTTCTGTTCTTATTAATCAAAATTACATTTTGATATGCTGTAAAAAAATATTGTGATTCAGATTTATTTCTGCTTTTGAATTGCATTGTGGGATCTAGATCTTTCTTCAAACAACTTTTAATCTTAAACTAGAAAAAAAAGAAAAGACTTTTCTGAACATGTGTGATAGTGTGCAGTGCTATATTGTCTGGGTTGGTGTTGTATATTACGCTACAGAAACCTCGTAATAAACTGCAGCATATTTTCTATTATTTTACACACTTATTTCTCTAGATTTTATTTACCATAAATTAGATATTATTCCTTACACATTATATTATTTTAAACCGCTAAAATGTCAATAAAGGTCCCTTTGTTATTCTGTATAGGGATACATGCATATCTATAAAATTAATAATACAGGTAAGGTTGGCGAAAGTTTCCTTTAGTCAGTTTAATGTCTGTGGAAGGAGCAGTATCAATCTACTAATACTCAAATTAACCATCACAATAAAGTGTTACCATAGTGTTTTTGCAAATTTAAGTGTATTAAACAGAAAGAAATTAAGTCGCCCCCCCCACCCCAAAAAAACAAAACAAAAAAACTGAAGAAGTGTGTTGTATCAGCTAAGCTTTTTATAGAAGTAGCTTGAACAACCAGCCAAAATCACTTGAGTATATATAGTAGAAAATGTACAAAATAAAAATACAAAAAGAAACATTGTCTTAATATGGTTTTTGACATAAATTGTGTCTATTCTGTAGGAAAAAATGGCGGCCTTAAATTAAACCATAAATCAAACAAATGTGAGAAAATAATCATATTTTCTTTTCTTTTTGATTTTTTTTAAATTATACAAATATACCTGTGCAACTTATCCCTTTTTGGTGGTGGTGGTGGTGTTTTGTCATCACATACAGTATTTGGTCATTTT